CAAGAACGAAACACTTACGGAAGGTGTTGGAAATTCGTCTAGTAAAGAGGATGTACAATTTCCTTGCTTGATCTTCGTAGTGTTGCCGTTAATCAGTAGGGCTTTYAGGTTAGTGTTTTTGGCAATGATAGTGTGTATCCCTCCCCCAAACTTATCCTATACTACAAAAGCGTTTGAAACAAAAATTCTCGTCGATTCACTTTTGAGTACCTGGAAAAAGTTTGTGACCCATATCTTGGCATAACCTTGCCCTTTTGAATACCGGGCTTTTTATTTTCGTCTTCCAATTTCCGAAGACCGATTATTTTATTTTTTTGTTTTGTTTTCTTCTCTTTTTTCTATTTTTTTTTCATACCTCCCAATTTTTCGAAGGTATATCTTTTTTTTTCTTTTTGAACACATCCCCCCAAACTGATAATAACAATGTCCCCATTGTTGCCAAAGGGACCAAAAGGGTATGGGTTGGGTGCAAGGGGAAAAGTGTTTGGGTTTAAAAACAAAAGGAGGGCCTACATCCTTTTAACTTTAGCACTACGAAAAATCATCCAAGCAAATTGTACCTGAAATGAATAATGGAACTAGACAAAACAAAATGCAATCCAACACCCATGTCATAAATATCCACACAAAAGAAAATGACATTCCGCAAAGCATACACAAAAGACGGAAAGAAAATGTATCAGTACCCAAAAGATATGTCCAAAAATAATGTTTAAAGAGGTGGGATCAAAAGTTGAGAATTTAACCATTTCTGCCAAACTGCTCACTGTGGGCAAACAGTGGATGCACCTGGCGCTTCGGAGCTTTGGACAATGGGAGCAGTAACTGAAACAGCAACGGCAGGAACAATGGCAGTGGTGATAGGYAATGGAGCAACAGCAGGAATGTGAGGAACCGAAGCAAAGGGTGCAGCAACAACAGACGTCGGCACATGGGGTTGCAAAGGTGGGAAGCACCGGACCTGAGGCGAGCAAAGACCGCTGGGGAATCGGGGAAGTTGGGCGGTCAAGAGAGTATCTTGACGCCCATAGAGTTGTCGTTCCACCCGATTCCAGTCTCTAGTGTAAGCCCAATATCGTGCACTCTTCTTTTAGAGATCGGAGACTCGGTCATCAAGGCTTCCAACCTTCTTCAAGATCTCCTCTAACTTCTGATTCGTTTCCTCCCACTGTAGTGCCAAAACAGACAGCCAAGTTGCTGACCCATACCCCGAGCCTAAAGGGTTGTTCGGCGGTGGATCGAAGGGGGTTAGATAGAGGGGTCATAGAGGGTGGATTGGTTAGGGCTAGGAAAAGGGGTCGTGGTGTTGGGGCGGTTGGAGGAGGTGCCACGGCGGCCGGCGGTCGCACAGAAGACGAACCGGCGCCAGGGGTTGGGTTAGTGTGTATAATGGTGGAGGGGGTGAAAATGGTAGAGAATAGGGGAGGAGTAGGATTGATACATACCGGGGTAACGACAGCATGAAACTCGTCGTAATCGACGGTGACGGTGGTGGGTAGACCGGCGATGGTGGTGGAGGGTTCCGTCATTGGTGGAGCGAATGCAATGGGGTCCGGCGAGAGAGGCGTTGATGGATGCATCGTCGGAACGGGAGTGTCGCCGGTTGTCGCATATCGAGATGAGCGGCGCGTAGGTGGTCGAAGTGGTGGTCGGTCGGTTGGATTATTTCTCGTCCTAGCCATGAAAAAAGAAGAAGATGAATAGTGAGAAAAAAAATGAAGTCTTCTTTTTCCCCCCCTTTTTCATAGGTAACCGATGAGGTAAGCATAGGAAACCACCCACATCAGCATGCAAGTGTCCTTGAAAGTACATGTGATTTGAAAAAA